CAAACTATCTTTTGTAAAGCCAGGTAAATGTTGTGCAACTTCTTCATATACTCGGGTTCTAGCTTGTTGATCATTAAACCTGCTATTACTATTCATGATCTCCTTGACTCTTTTTTCAAAGCTTTCTATGAATTGATACCAACACAAAATTTCATTTTGGTTGGCCTTCATGACACGTTTTTCCACGAGACTTGCTTTTTTATATAATCACGCCAAATTTTGTAAAATAGATCCCCCACTCTCTTCACTATCATTTTCTTCTTCAGGTTCTTCGGGTATAGACAATTCTTGCAACAAACCTTGTACCTTGTCCTATTTGCGAGAAATTTTGGAAGATGATTTCTTTGATGACTGAATTTATGCATTGTCAGTATTGTTCCCAGCTGTTTGATTAGTCAAATTATCTGCAGAACTTTCCACATCTATAGTAAGACTTGTTGTTTGATCATGCATAATAGTTTTGGTTATTTTTCTCCTTGACCTGCAAGAGAATCATTGTCTATTAATCCTAGGTCAAGCAAAAGTTCTGATTTACCTCCTACAGTATCATCACTTAGGGGATCTTTTTTCCTGAAATCCTTATCCTTAGATACCATGTGATATTCACCAGAAGCTAGTATAAGTTCCTCGTTAACAAGTTCGATAGGTGATATACAACTAGAAATAAGGCATAAAGGAAAACATGTTTCTGATCGTATAATATATTTTTCAAGACATATTCGATGGTATATATGTCTATATGATAATACTGTAAATGAATGAAGTGGTAAGGCAAGAATTCCTTTATCGCAGAAGTGGCAAGGATTAAGTTTCAGGATATGTTCATCAGTTATTTCAGAAGTGTTTCTTAGGAAATTTAACGAAAGTGCTTTAAGTTGAAAAACCTCTGTATCATCTGCATGGATTTCTGAAGGACTTGCTAGTATTTCACTAGTCATACTATTAAATCATAAAGATTTCTCGCCCTTTTCCCCCTACATAAATATTTTCATATATCAAGACTAAAACAAAATTAGCCTTACCCTGAGAATTTATTTCAGAAATGAACATCTTGGAAATGAGCATCTCGAAAATAAGCATCACGGAATGAAGATCACGAATAAATCAGGACCAATGATGAAAAAATATATCACAAAAAAAAAGACTACTATACTCCAGTTAAGGCTATGATCGTTGTAAAACATAAAAGCCCCTGAGATAAATATAGTAATCCCTCTTTCGATCAAAGATCTTCAGGAAAAAAATTTTTATGACTAAAATTTCAGCTGGAATGCCCCTGTCGAAAAATAGTCATAGAAAAAAAGGTGTAAAAAATGTTTTATTTTTCTGAGCGATGATCACTACTCCAGACTGGTTGGCTTAGAAGAATAATCATCTTTTTGCGCAAACTTTAGCTCTCGTACCAATCTATCCAATGTCAATTTAAGACCAATTATATAGACTTCTTGTCGAAGTTCAGGTACAACCACTGCTAGAAACACCTTTTTAATATTTTTATTTGCATTTTCTATAATTTCATCTAAACTTTCCATATTGTGCAAATTG